TGGGGCACGTGGGGGCAGATGTGGCGTAGCAGAGCTATCCAGCCCCACGCGGTGTTTGGGGAAAATCCCAGGACGGTACAGAAAAACCGCCCCTCAAACCGAGAGGGGCCACGAGACCACAGAATGATGCGGACACAGCCCCTGGCGAGTGGGGCGAGTTTACCAGCGGTTACTTGCTAGCGCACCCGCCCCTGGGCGGATGGGGACCTCCTTCCTCGGGGGCTTCCTGCTAGCAAAGTCCGCACCCGCCACCCTGTGGTGTCGCTTTAAATCTCTCCCCGGTGAGTCCCGTGAAGTTTTACATTGTGTCCCACAGGGCAGGAGCATCGTCATAGCTGTCACGCACCTGTTATGTTAGTGATGTTATAATTCTCCACTGGCGGCGTTTCAGTGTCGCAGGTAGCTGAGGGCGCTACAGGACAGCAGCATGGCTCCGACCAGTGAGGCCGGTTCCAGCCGCTGTTTCAGGGCAGAAAGTGCCGAGACACCCAAAGCAGTGCTGGGCACTTTTCCCGGGCCCAGTGGTTATCTTGGTACCTGCCTTGTCTACCTGGTGACCACTTTGCTGAACACTGCAGCCAGCTCAGTGTGTCTGTCATGGGGTGAGACCCTGCATTTTTCCCTGTTGGGGGACAGGGACCCTCCGTGGGGAGGAGTCTTCGCTGTTCTGCTAATGTGACTTCTTGACTGGGCAGACGCCGGAAGGAGCAGGGGGGTCTCTGCGTCAGAGTGGATAGGTGGTCCCGGTGCCGTGAGCCCTGGGCTAACCCACCGTCCCTGCCCTCCCTCGCTGGTGGGGCCAAGGAGAGGAGACCTCCGAGGGTAAACCCTCGCCGCGCCCCACATGCTGTGCCAGCTCCCCATGTGCACGACGGGCCGCTGTGGGGGGCTCTGAGACATGACACTCTGCACGGAGGCCCCGGCAGTGTGGTGGGGAGGGCGGGGGCAGCGCGAGGAAGCAAGTCTGGGTGGTTAGAAGGACCCGACGTCCCCATCAGGCCAGAAGAGCCCGTCACTCCTGTGAAACCCAACTGGTCCCATGTTTGAGCGAACACAACAAACACGCGTGGTCCTTTCTCCCCCGTTCGTGAGGGTTTCTCTTCCTCCCACCTGCCCGCGTCCCCTCCGTCATCCCTGCCACCCTCGCGTCACGGGTGCGGGGCTCCCTTCTGCACCAGGCGGAGCGGAGCGGCCGGGGAAGCTGAGTGGCTTCTCCCTCGGGCTTTCTGAACCAGAAGGAGCCAGACTCTGTCACCACCAATCCCGACGACATCCCCAGCCCTGCCCCGGCTGCCGTGCTGTGTGGAGGCTCAGGTACACGGCCAAGCCCGGCCGGCATCGCAGCCCCGGCACAGAGGGAACCCTGCAGGTGTCCGTTTGTTTGTTTGCTTGCCTATCTGGTAAGCAGCTTGAAAATCCCACAAGGCAAAATTATGTTTGTTGTTCACAATTCATATTTTTAGGTGTCCCAGTGTGTTTGTGCTTTATGCAAACATCGTGTGTCCGTGTCGTGTGTTCATAGGAACTATGCATGTGTGCACCGTTCCTCACACCTTTCCGCACTCCTGAGCCGTCCTCTAGGCTCATTCTCCTTCTGCCTGAAAAATACCCTTAGTATTTATTTAGGGTGGGACTCCAGGTGACGAATTTTTATGTTTTGTCTAAATGTGTGTTTATTTCACTTTTATTTTAGAAAGATTTTGTTTTTCGCTGAATAAAGAATTTTAGGTTGTTCATTATTTCTTTTTATCCCATTGTTTTCCAGCTTCCATTATTCCGATGGAGAAGTCGGCTTTAAGTCTTACTACTGCTACCTTAAAAGCTTTATGCCCTTTTTTAAATCCCCAGTTGTTTAAAAATTTTTATCTTTGGCTTTGGCTTTTAGCAGCATCACTATGATGGGACTGCCTGTGGTTTTCTTGGACTTATCCTGCTTAGGGTTTGCGGTGCTCCTGGAATCTGGTTTAATATCCTTTGTTGGTTCTGGAAATTCTTCAGTCTTTGTCTCTTCAAACGTCGCTTCTGCCTTTTCTTTCTCGTTGGCCCTTTGGGACGTACGATGTGCACATTAAGGTCACGTGTGTCTTCGTGCACTACTCTGTATTGTTCTGGTGTGGATATTTTCTTTTAATGTATCTTCCAATTAGTTAATTCTCTCTCTAGCTGCATTTAATCTACTATTAAACTCATTTAAGTTCTTAATCTCAGTTTTTTTAAATAGAGTTTTCCCATTCTATTTTCTAAAATGATTTCTAGTTGTGCGACAAAATTTTCTGTTTTCACTTTTTAATTTCCTGGACATATTAAGCTAAGTTGGTTTTGTTTTTTAAATCTGCATCTGATTACTCCATTATCTGAATCTCCTTTGGGTCTGTTTAGTGTCTGCTGTTTCCCGTCAGATTTTGTCTTCTCGTGTGCTTAATTAAATGCCACATGTTGTATATGAAAAATTGCAGAAATAATTTGAGGCTATGTGTGGTGTTACCTGTCTCCATGGAGGATTTATCTTTGCTCCTGGCAGGGACAGTGATAATCTCAGATCACCGTAACACCTACACCTCCTTAATTAGAGCTGAGCTTCTGTCAGGCTGTTTCTTTCCAGATCGTCCTCACTGCTGGGGCGCTGCCCTTCGAGGTTTAACCCAAAGACTACGGGGTTTTCCACGGCCCCTCCTCTTTGGCAAACCCTGAGCTCGGTTTTTATTCCCATTCCCGTAAGTCCATGGAAAGTTCCATGCGGCTCTTCAGCCTGTCCACGGGCAGTTCTGGAATCAGCAAACGCCTTACAAAACGGACGGCCCCCGGTGCCGGGCTCTCCTTCCTGCCAGTCCCACAAATTCTTGCCTCTTGGTGGGTCTCTGGTGCCTGTAAAGAGATGTCTTTGGTTTATATTTTGTCCAGCTTTTCTGGTTTTCCTTGGGAGGAAGATTAGTTTAAAACAACATAGTCCACCATTTGCAAAAAACAGAACTTTCTGGATTTCTTTTAAATTCCGAGTACCTCCGGGGAAATTCTGTTGATAATTAAATTCATTAAAATTGGGCTTACACGCAACTCTTTGGGAACTTATCCATTTCGTGAAGTAAGGTCTAGTTGGAGATGTTTTTTATTAGGGCTCTTAAAAAACACAAGTTCCCAGTTTTTCCCTAGAAGACACTTAACAAAGATGTGTTGAGCGAGGGGACGAGTGTCTTGGTGGATGATCCCTAGGTGCGTCTTCTTGGTCTGATGACAGCCTGTTTTCTGCAAAGCCCAATAAACAAATGAGCCTGGGCGCTGCGCACACTCCCTCCCGTGCTGCCGACTGCCTCCGGTCTGTCAGTGTGCTCGGCTGAAAAACGTAAACTTGATCTCGTCACTGCCCTGATGAAAACGGGCTTCCCTGTGATCCTGCAATGAAGTCGGAACACTCAGCCCGTCTCGACCCACCCCTGCCCCCTCCCTTTGTGGCTCAGACCTGAGAGCCCTGCCCTGCCCCGGGGCCTTTGCCCCTCTGCCCCAGGCCTCCTCCTCCTCCCACCCACTCCCTTCGTCTCTCGGGCCCTTTCTGCTCCTGCAGGCCCCCGTCTCTGCCATCCCGCGTGTCCGTGTGCATGTCCGTGTGTGTGTGCTCTGTTCCCTGCAAAGCGCTTCTCAGGACGTCCTTCCTGTTGTTGCCCCTCGCTAGCACGCAGGGCCGGGGCCGGGCCTGTCTGCCTGTCCTCACCGCCGCGTCTGAGCACAGCATCATGGCACGGGCTTGGCGTAGCCATGGAGCGCGTGGCCCCCACAGTGGGGTACGACTCAGCCAGAAAAAGGAAGGAACCTTGAAGCCGTCAGGCTGGTGGAAAAGTCCAGACACAGACGGCCACAGGGTGTGGGGTTCCATTTCTGCGAAGTGTCGGAACTGGCAAACGCATCGAGACAGAGAGCAGATCGGTGGCTGGGGGAGGTGGGGGTGACTATTATGGGGACAGGTTTCTTTTTGGAAAGATGAAAATGTTCTGGAATTAGGTTCTGGTGACAATTGCACAACTTTGTAAATATGCTAAAAACCACTGAATTGAGCACTTTAAAAGGGCAAACCTCATGGTGTACGTGAGTTACACCTTAATCAAAAGTGTGCGTTTGTGGAGTGAGGAGTGGACGGGAGGGGCTGGGCCTGGCAGCGTCACCGCCCGTGGCGTGGACAGCCTGGTCCCGGCCACACGCCCCTCTGGAGACGAGCACGTGGGGCCTGTGCCCCCCAAACAAGTCCCGTCTCCCCTCCACACTTGCTCTCCTTTCCATTTGTGTAAGGCACCTCTGCTCTGAGAATTTTTTACTCAGTAGAAGCTGAAAGCTGCAGAAACTCCTGGTCACACACACCAAGAGCCACCTGCTTCCTGCCCAGGTGGGGGCCAGGGCGGGGTCTTCCCTGCAGGGCTGCAGCGGGAGGGGGATGGGGCAGGGCCTGTTCCCTCAGCCCGCCTGCGCCCGGTGCCTCGGGCCCCTCACAGACCCTCCCCCTGAGACGGAGGCCACCACCCCTCCGGCCCGCAGGCACCGCGCACAGATACTCACAGCAACCTCTCAGTGCCAGGATGCAGGCACAGCGTGAGGGACACCTGTCCCCATGGTGCCTGTAACCTCCCAGAAGAAACAGGCGGGAAACAGACACACACCTGTTTAAATGCAAGTGGGTGAGGCCGGAAAGGAGGAACATTCGAGGCCCCATGACTCAGTCCGGGGGTCCAGGAAGTAGTGTTGGGGCTGGGTGTTGGCCAGGTGGGGAAGTTTGAAGAATGTTCCAGACATGTAACAACTGTGCAAAGTCCCAGGGCTGGTGTAGCAAGAGCCCCTTACCTCATGCACACAGGGAGGAGCACCCTTGGGGCTCTCTGGGGCCCCCAAAACAGCAGCAACCCATCAGCCGGGTGAGGATCCCTCTGCGCGAGGAGGCAGCGCAGCCCGGGGTGTGCGCTTGGCGGCCGCAGCCTGTGTGGCGGCAGTTTCCGTCTGAGCTGCTCTCTCCTTTCCAGGCACCTACGTGATGACGGTCACCGCCAACGACGCTGACGACAGCACCACGGCCAACGGGATGGTGCGGTACCGGATCGTGACCCAGACGCCTCAGAGCCCGTCCCAGAACATGTTCACCATCAACAGTGAGACGGGAGACATCGTGACGGTGGCGGCTGGCCTGGACCGGGAGGTGAGGCGGGGGACGGGCCGCGCAGGGCCGGAGAGCCTGGGGGTTCTCCGTCCCGATGGTGCAGGGGGACGAGATCGGGAGCTGCCCGAGGTCTGTCCCCTGCGCAGGCTGGAGGGACAAGGACTCGGCAAAGCCGATTCTCAAGGGCTCACTGCCGGCTACCCTGGGAGATCACTGAGCTGGTACCACACGCGGTTTCCAGATGGGCCTGCTGGTGTGGGCCGCAGGGTGGGGCGCTCAGAAAAGCAGGGACGCCCTCGAGGTTCTCGGGGTCCCACCACAGCAGAGCTCCAGGTCCAAGGTGATCTGACGGCCCCTCTCAGGACCTGAACACTCACAGCTGCCTGGAAGCCGCTGCCTCTGAGCCTGGCGTCTTCACATTGGACCATCGTGCAAGCTGCTGCCACCCTTCTGTGATGGCGCGGGTGCCGAGGGAGCCCCAGCCCTGGCCACTCAGAAACCCCCACCTACGACCAGGTCCCAGGGAGGCCAGCTGGCTGCTGGACCACCTGCAAAATGTTCCAAGCAAGACTGCTTGTTTCAAAGCTCATGGATTAGAAGAATTGATATTGTTAAAATGTCCATATTGCTCAATTGATTTACAGATTCAATGCAATCCCCATCAAAATCCCAACATCATGTATCACGGATCTACAAGAAATAATCCTAAATTTCATATATAACCAGAAAGACCCTGAATAGCCAAAGAAATCCTAAGCAAAAACAACAAATCTGGAGGCATCACATTACCTGACTTCAGATCATACTACAAGGCTATATAGTAACCAAAACAGCATGGTATTTGTACAAAAATGGAGACCTAGACCAGTGGAATGGAATAGAGAACCCAGAAATGAAACCATGTAGCTACGACCAACTGATTTTTGACAAAACAGACCAAATCATACACTGGGGGAGGGACCCCCCATTCAATAAATGCTGGGAAAACCAGACAGCCACATGCAGAAGAATGAAAATGGACCCCTCTCTCTTGCCATATACAAAAATTAACTCAAGATGGATTAAAGACTTAAATGTAAGGCATGAAACTATAAAAACTCTAGAAGAAAATGTAGGAAAAACTCTTCTAGACATTGCCCTAGGCAAAGAATTTATAACTAAGACCCCAAAAGTAAATACAGCAACAAAAGAAAATAAGTAAATGGGACTTAATTAAACTAAAAAGTGTCTGCACAGCAAAGGAAATAATCAACAGAGTAAATAGACAACCTACAGAACGGGAGAAAATACTCACAAACCATACATCTGACAAAGGACTGATACCCAGAATCAACAAAGAACTCAAACAGATCAGTAAGAAAAAAACAAACAACCCCATCAAAAAGTGGGCAAAAGATACGACCAGACTTTTCTCAAAAGAAGACACACTAATGGCCAAAAACATGAAAAAGTGCTCAACATCACTGATCATCAGGGAAATGCAATTAAACCACAATGAGATGCCACCTTACCCCTGTTGGAGTCGCCAGTATTAAAAAGTAAAAAAACAACAGATGTTGGTGAGGTTGGGGTGGAAAGGGAACGTTTATCCACCACTGATGAGAATGTAAATTGGTACAACCGCTAAGAAAGCAGCATGGAGAGTCCACAAAGAACTAAAAGTAGACCCGCCATTCGACCCAGCAGTCCCACTACTGGGTATGTCCCCAGAGGAAAAGCCATTTTGTAAAAAAGACTCCTGCACTGAACCTTTGTTGCGGCACAATTCACAACTGCAAAGATGCGGAATCAACCCAAGTGCCCATCAGCTGATGAGTGGATAGCGAAAATGTGTGTGTGTGTACACATGTGCATGCGTGTGCACGTGTGTATGTGTGTGCATGTGTGTGCACATGGGCATGTGTGTGCATGTGCATGTGTGCATGCATGTGCGTGTGTGCGTGAGTGTGTGTGCGTGTGTGTGCGCCCGCATGCACCACACCATGGAGTACACTCAGCCATAAAAAGGAACGAAATAGTATCTTTTGCGGCAAACTGGAACTGGAGATCATTATCCTGAGTGAAGTATCTCGGGACCGGAAGAACAAACACTCATATGTGGGAGTAAACAAGGGACATACATGGTCCGAAGAGCAGCAGAGGACATTGGGCACCAAGAAGGGAGGATTCTGGGGGGTGAGGGAGAAAAAGCTACCCATCGAGTGCGATGTGCACTATTTTGGTGACACGTACACTGAATGCCCTGACTTTATCCATGTCACAAAAAACATTGCACCCCCTAAATTTTTTAAAATGCAATAAATAAATAAATAAAAGCCATTAGAGGTGGGTTTTCAGAGATTTATGAAGACCCCTCCCCGTCCCCAGCTCGGACCCTCCTTCCCGCTGCCACAGTTTTTGCCTTTGGCTCTGGGTGGAAGGAACGGAAGCTGCCAAGAGACGCAGGCGGCTCTGCTCGGGGTGCGAGCCCCTCCCTGACGCGCTGGATTCCGCGTGGGTTTGCGCTCTAGGCTCCGAGCTGCCCACTCGTCCCTCGCCAGCCTCCCAGGGGAAATCCGAGCAGTGGCTCGTGGTGACCGCTCTTGGAGCAGAAGCAGCGTGGCCCGACCACGGACACCCTGGCTGGCAACGTTCAGTGACACACAGCCAAACAACACCGGGTTTTAAGACCACGGCTCTGGGGCCTCCCCTTCTAGGCATCAGTGAACCAGCAGGGCGACCCCAAGCGACCCGACACCCCTGCCCGGCTGGGGCCCCATGGACCTTCGCTGGCCTGAGTCACTGCCCCCAGGGCCAGGTTCTGCCTCTGCCCGAGCCCCGGCGTGTCCCCTCCCCACCGGCCCGGCCCGCCTTGCCCTGGCCGGGCGTCTGCGCAGCCGGACTGAAGAAGGACGCGTAAGTACAGCGGCTGCTTTTTCTTTTTTCCCTTCTAAGCAGGATTCTCCCCTGCCCTTGTGCGACAAGCGTCTTTGGGGAGAAAGTGCCACGGTACTTCCTTTCAGCACCGGCCCCCATCTGACGGAGAGAGTCATCTCTAGGAGGGAAAATCCACAAACGTAATTGGCACGGTGTCTAATTAGGCAGAGCTATGTAAATTGAGCGTTTCTACATGATTAAAATGTCAGGAGAGACTTCGATAAGACACGAGCTGTTCGAGAGTCTCTCGTGTACCTCCTCGAAGAGGCTCCTCTTGCTAATCCCGGTCACCGTGCGTTCTTCCCTGATGAGAATATTTATGTCCTAATAAGAAGGTGCGCACGCCGCGCGAGTTCCTTTCTGGAGGCGCGAGTGACGTCCTCGCGCCCGCGCTGTCCTGATTGCTGTGCCACGTAATTAGCGCCGAGCCGCGTGGTTCCCGGACCCGCTTCCCATGGCTCCTGGATGAAGATGATTGCGTTACTGGAAACTCGGTCCATGGTGACAGTCACCTGGTCACCTCCACCGGCTTGAAACTTCTTCCCAAGCAAGGGTGGCCAGATTAACCCTCTCATGGTCCGGAAGGCTTTGGGGGAAGCAGAACCGACACCTCCCGGTATTTTTCCAAGACCCCCGCCCTGCACTGGCGGCGGATGAAAAGGTTTCCCGGAGAGCGATGACGCGCCGTGCCCCACTGCTGCAGAACGTCCCCATCACCGTCACCAGCCTTAAGTGACACAGTCACATTGTTTGAATTCGGACAGAGCACACTCGTTGGTGACAAGACTGATTACCTGCTCCCAGCGTTCAGAAAGTGCCACTCGGCAGGAGGCCAGCCCGGGTCTGCCGGGGAGGGTGGGGTCTGGGTGGGGGCGTGGCAGGGCTGTTCTCCCGGCTGGTTTCCGAATCATTTCCACGGAACCCTGTTTTGAAGACACCAAATATGGCTTTGTGGGCTCAGACGAAAAACCGCTGGCAATTGAGACAATCGGCCGCCACTCACCGCAGGCTGGATTGGACCCTGGAGGTCTCGCGGGTCCCTCCGCTCCCGCCCAGAAGAGAGAGGAGGTGAAGGAAGGTGGAGAGGAGGAAGTGACCCAGCCCGGGGGCTGCTGTCTGGGCCCCAACCCCGCTGCTGTGCCGCCTGCACGCGGCCCTGGTGGCGCCTGGAAGGTGCGGGCGCGTGGCAGCCCCCGGCCTGAGCCGGAGCCGTCACTCGCCTTCAAGGGCCCCTGCTTGGGAATCCACAGAGCCACGTTCCCAGCCACGTAAGCCCAGCTCACGAAGTCACAGCCACACCCTGCCCCAGCCGCCAAGGTGGAACTGGCCTCTTTTCTACAATAAGGCCTGTTGATTTCTTTTCTTAACACAAAGATGGCACATTTATAACAGAAAACACAAACACAAAGAAGAAAATAGCATCCTCCCATCCCAGTCATCACCTGCTCCCGTGGTCTATACGCTTCCTCCTGGACAAAGTGCTTTCCCGTCCCACAGTGTTCGGAGCGCACCCGCAGTGTGACATGATGTCGGAGCCGCGTGGGACACGCCCTCCTGCCCCCGCGTGTCCACACGCCCTGGCTCCTCCACCGCCGGCACCTGTCACAGCTTATTATTACAAGTTCCCCATCGCCCACGTGTGTTGTTCCGTCCCTGCTGCCCTCAGTGGCACTAAGTCAACCAGGACGTTGCAGCCACAAGTCCCCGAAGACCCAAAAGGCCGACACAGGACAGAAACCGCGTCGCTTTGGACAGGAAGCCCCAGGGCAGGCAGGTCCAGGCGCCCACCCGGTGCCCGTGCTGTGTAGTTAGCAGCAAAGACCTTGTTCTCGGCCTCCCCACCCCCAGGCAGAGGCCAAGGCGGGAGCTGCTGCCTCGGGCTGAGAAGCGTCGGCCTCTTCTCTGTTTCTGAGCAGTGGGAAGCAGACCTGGCTGCCAAGCGTCGGGGGTCCCTCCCGGAACCCAGAGTGCAGACACCTGGCAGGCTCTGGGTGGGGCAATGGGGCAGTAGGGCGGGGCCAGGGAGCCAGGGGTCCAGGTAGCCGAACTTCCCGCCCGCGGTGCGAGGAACAGGCATGGAAGTCTGGGGAGGATCCTCTGATGTGGGCGGGACCGTCCCACAG